CACACACACGCACGCACACACACACACGTCATCCCCCTGCCCCCCTGCCTCGTCCCCCCACCCCGCCAGCGGGAGGTGCTGCAGGACCCCGAAAACTACGCACTCGCAGCATCGGGCCGCGTCCTGCTGTCAGAGGCCACCACCCTGCGCGCCTCAGCCCAGGCCGACCGCCTCAGCCAGCTGCCCTCCAGCCTCGCGGGCTGGCGCCCCAGCTGGCGCCGCAAGGGCGCCGCGCCGCGAGACGGCGACGCGGACGCTGGCGCTGAGGCCGGCGCAGCGGCTGGCAGCGGCAGCGCTGCGGGTGGCGGCGGTGCCGCGGGGCCGCGCTGCGGGCCGTGGGCGGCGCTGCAGCTGAAGCAGCAGCTTCTCGACGGCTACGAGCTGACCGCTGACCTGGCGCTCAACGAGCCCTCGCTAGACGGCGTGCGCGCGTCCATCAACACGCCGCTGCGCCTGAGCGTCGACGTCGGGCCCCGGCCGGGCCTGGCCCCGGGGCCGCTGATGTACCGCGTCGGGGCGCACGGCGTGCTCGCGCCGGCGGCGGCAGAGGCGGCGGGGGGCGGCGGGGGGCGCGCGGCGCACGTGCTGGCGGCGCACGCGCAGGTGGGGGAACTCGCAACGGCGTGGCGCGCGCCAGCTTGCTCGGGCACTGTGCACCACCAGCCGGCAATTCGGAAGTTGTTGCCGATCTCTCGCCTGGACGGTGCATTGGGGCGAATTGTGTCACCCCTTGGTTGTCAGCGGGGGACTGCGTAAATGTGTAATGCAGAGTGTCGGCCGCTCGTTTTGCATGGAACCATGCAAGCTGAGACGAGGCTGCTCAGCAAGGCCCGCCCGTTGCGTGCGCCTCTGTCCCCGGCCCCTCCGCAGGGCGCCCTGGCGCTGGCGGGCGGCCGCACCCTGTGGCAGGCGGCCTCAAAGCCCTGGGAGCGCAGCCCCAGGCGCGGCCTGGTGCGGCGGCCGCTCGTCATAGCGCCCCTCCAGCAGCAGCAGCAGCAGGCGACAGCATCGCCGTCCGGCGACGACACCCAGCGGCAAGGGGAGGCCGTGCCGCCCGCCCCGCACAGCAGCGACCACGCCGCCGCCACCGCGCCCGCCGGCGATGACGGCCCCCGGCGCCGCCACCCCCCCAAGCCGCGCCGCCACCGCGGCGCATCCGGCGCGGCCGCGGCCCGCGAGGGCGGCGCCGCCGCGCTGCTGACGCCGGGCCAGGTGCAGGACGGCCTGCAGCAGACCACCTGGCGGCTGGAGCGGCTGCGCACCGACCTGCAGTCCTGGGCCGGCCGCGCCAACGCGGGCGAGCTGCTGCCGCCCGCCGAGCGGCCGCCCAAGGGCGCCGGCGCCGCGCCGGGCGGCTGCTGGAGCAGCGTGCTGCAGGCGCCGCACCTGCGGGTCAGCGGGCTGGTCGGCGCGCTCGGCCGCGTGCCGCTGCACCACTCCCACTTTGACGCCGCCCCGGAGTCGCCCATCGCCGGCGCCGCCGCCGCCACGTCGTCCCGCCGCCGCGGCCGGCGCGGCGCGGGCGCAGGCGCAGACGGCGCCGCGGCGGGGGGCGCGGAAGCGGCTGAGGGCGCCCCCGCGCCGCCGGCCGGGCCCGCGCTGGGCTCGCCGGCGTGGCTGCGCCATGCGGGCGCCGCCGGGCGCGGCTTTGCGGAGCGCGTCGTGTTTGGCGGTCTGGGGGGCCTGGGCGGCCTCGGCTCCCACCTCGCGCGCGACGTGGGCGTGCGGCTGTTCGCGTCCGGCGGCGCGGCGCTGCAGCTCGGCCGCATGCGGCGCAACTTTCTCGATTTCACGCGGCTGGAGGCGACGCTTGACGCCGGCCTCACAGGCCCCAAGGTCCTGGGCAGCGGCGCCGGCGGCACCAGCGGCGGCGCAGCTGCTCCCCGCGGCGGCGGCGGCGCGCGCCACCCGGCGTTTGCGCTTGACGACACGGGCGCGTGGCACGCCCTGACGCTGTCCGCGTCGCAGCAGCTGGCCGGACCAGTCCGGCTGCGCGCGGACTGGCGCCTCGCGCTGGACTCTGCTGCGCCGCTGCCGGGCGGCGGGCCGGGGCTGGGGGGCGCGCCGCAGGCGGCGGCGCTGCTGGCGCGTCACGTGGGGGGCATGCGGCCGACGCTGCTCGACGCGGCGTACGGCCTGGACGTGATCGTGCCGGGCAGCGGGGGGCTGGTGCGGGCGGTGGCGTGGTACTCCCCGCGCAGGGGGGAGGGCGCGCTCGAGGTGCGGCTGCTGTGAGGGGCCGCTGCGCGCACACGCGCGCGTGCCAGGTGCCTTGTTGCTTTTTTCCGTGCGTGCCTGGGTCTGCCCGGTGCTTTGCTGGGCGGGGCGCCAGGTGGATGGGCAGGAGTGGGGGCGCAGGGCGGGCTGCCCAGACCGAGGCGCCCATCAGCAAGCTGGCACACATGTGCGGGGCTCTTTCACAGCGTCGATGCTGGCGCCTGCGTGCCGCTTCTGCCACCTATGTCTGTGTTTTTTTGTGCCGGCCCTTGAACACACCCAGGCAAACACCTGGTGCTGCCAAGTCACGAGGCAGCATGTTTGGCTGCCCATCGTGTTTGCTGTAGCACCTGCTTTTTCATCAACACTTTCAGTCCCGCTATTGCAGCCGATAGCCCTGATTTTCATCGCTGCAGAAATAGCCAGGACAATCTTGGTACATTGTGGATCCGAGGGTTACAAGTTATGGCGCTTGCAACCGAACGAACAGACACACAGCCGCATTTGACTTGTGGGGGGTCAAAGGAGCCCAGCAGTAGCAGGCACCTGTGCAGCCCTGTGCGCATCCAGTCAGAGGGAGGGGACCCGTTTTAACCTGCAGTCGCTGCCCCCAAGGAAAGACACGGTGGCAAGAGCCAGGTGACAATCGGGGTGCTGTGTTTGGATGCAACACACTCTCCAACACTGCTGTCCAGCACACACTCACTACTCAAACCCCAAGCCCGGGACACAGCTGCCAGGCAAGCCGCCAGCCTCACATGGTGAGCCAGCTGCTGGTCAACGCATCGCAGACGCGGCGCAGCCCTTTGTGTGGATCGTCATGGCCGGCTGCTTGATATATAACGCGGTTGTCCGAAGAACCAAGGATGCAAGTAGGCAAGGGTGAGCGATGATGGGAATGAATGTCCAAACAAGAAAAAGTTGTGCCGAGATTGAGGATACATGAGAGGAGAGTGCCAGCACCTCAAGTCTGAGTGGGTCGCGCCCCTGCCGGCAGCACACCACCTTGGTGGAGTGCTGGCGGTGGGGGCAGGGCGGACGGGGGGAGCCCCAACCAAGCGACGCCCCTCAATCAGGGCCGAGCGGCCTGGCCGCTCGGTGGGTGCGAAGCCGGTGTGAGATTGTGAGGCGGGGGGAGAGTGCCCCAACCAAGCGCTGCCCCTCAATCAGGGCCAAGCGGCCTAGCCGCTCGGTGGGTGCGAAGCCGGTGTGAGATTGTGAGGGGGGGGAGAGTGCCCCCACCAAGTGACGCCCCTTAATTAGGGCCGAGCGGCCTAGCCGCTCGGTGGGTGCGAAGCCGGTGTGAGATTGTGAGGCGGGGGGAGGGAGCCCCAACCAAGCGACGCCCCTCAATTAGGGCCGAGCGGCCTAG